GCAGGCAGCCTCCCAGGACCAGGGAGGTCTGCTCAGGCAGCTCCACCTGGTGGCCGGGGTGCAGGCGGCTCCTGCACGGGGCGGAGGGCCCGTGAGAGCCAAAGCCTGTGCGAGCCCCCACTGCTGCAGGCCTGCACCTGCGACGGGCCGGGCACAGCGTAGGCACGGAACACACTTGACCTAAACTCCATGTTCAGGCCCTGGCCTCCATCCTCTGCCTGCCAGCTCTGCTTGGGTTACACCTGGGAGCTCATTCAATCCACCGCAGCGCAGCCAGGGGGTTCCTGGAGTCACCGAGCCAGGAAATGGAGGCCAGGACTGGCTAGCCACCCTGCTTGGTGCCACGGCACAGGCTCTGCCCACGTGTCCTGTCTCCAGGTGGCACCAATGCCAGCTTCCCAGAGCCCTCCCCACGGGAGCCAGGCTGAGGATGCTGGGAGGGGACTGGAGGGTTGGGAAGGTGAGGCAGTAGGACCAGCCCCCAGAGGGAGGTGGGGGAGAGGGGGGGAGCGGGAAGGAGGCCAGGCCTAGATCAGGATGTGGGGCCGAGGGCTCTGGAGGTAAAGCAGCCCCAGGACGACAGCACAGGTTGTGGTCTTGGGAGGGAGATGTGGGAAGGGAGGGAGAGGCCATGGACAGAGGCAGGTTTGGGTGTGGCTCCCACAGGACTCTCACCGCATCTATGGGACCCAAGAACCATGTGTCTGACCTTTGAGGAATGTGGGGGATGAGAGCCCCTCAGATATTCCTGGACCTTCACCCGGCTCTCACAGGGCGCCCAGCTGAGGAGGGCAGAGCCCCTCTCCCTCTGGAACTGACCCAGAACCCCCACCGGCCCGGCTACTGGCTGCCTCGACTCCAGCTGTGGACACCACTCGCCAGGCCTGTCAGGGGCCCTGGAGCTCGCAGGCCCGGGGCTCTGGCCTCCCCAGATTCCCCTGGGACGGTGACATGGTCCTGGGAGGGCTCTTCACCGATGACCGCGAGTGAAGCCTGGAGGCGGAGCTGGGCCCTCACCCCCACTCCTGCAGAGACCCCGGGGGGGTGCAGCCCTCAGCCAGGGCACAGCCTCCCTGCCAGCTCCGCAGCATCGCCTGGATCAGAAGCAGGGGCGCCCTTCCCGGCTGTAAAGAATGCAGGAGCCTCTTCCCTCACTTTGGGAGAAATGGATCCAGGGCTGGGCTGACCAGGTCAGCAGGACACTGGCCCACGGCTCCAGTCCACGAGGCTGGACTACCCATGTCTGGCTGGCCAGACAGATGCGGAGGGTGCCAGCGCCTCTGGCAGGCTTCCTGACCCAGGTCATGCAGGGCTGGGCCCGCAGGGACAGTGGCCTGGTACTGGCAAAAGGCAGGGTAGAAATGGTGGTGTGAGAGGTGAGGAAGAAAGGGGGGCCGACTCCCCAGTGGGGTCCCCGGCCAGTGGTTCACTGCCATGCCCTCCACAGCAGCCCTGGAGAGAGAAAAGGGGGGAAAGGGGCCATCTGGCCTGTTCTGGACACGATCAGACACTGTGGAGCCTGTAGGGGTCAGGCAGGGTCACTGCCCCACAGCAGAGAGGACAAAACCGGGCTCCAGGGGTAAAGTGACATGTGCAGGTGACAGAGCTTATAATGGTGCGACTCGGACCCCACCTGCTGGGCTACCCTTAGTGGCAGCAGACCTGGGTGCTAACCCCACACACATCGCTCGTGTCCTGAGCCCACGACATGCCACACTCGCTCCCAGCCTCGGCTTCCCCGTCTGGTCACGGACGGTGTGGGTCAGACCCAGCGCCCAGCGTCAGGGACACCTCCTGCGTGGCGAGCACTGTTAGCTGGGACGTGGTAGAACACTTTACTTTTAATAGTGACACATTCTTAAAGAGAATTTTAAATGTGTGTCCAAAAGTTATACAACTAGCATATCACATTTGTGGTTTTATAGCTACTATTGTTTATGATGAGGTTAAGTTAGTAAAAAGTCATTTGGAGAAAAGGGAGCCCTCATGTACTGTTGGTGGGAATGTGAGCTGGTGTAGCCACTGCGGCAAGCAGTATGGAGGCTCCTCAAAAAATTAATTGTGGAATTATCATACGATCCAACAATTCCACTTCCGGGTATTTATCTAAAGGAAAGAATTAAGTATCTTAAAGAGATAGCTGTAGCCTCTCCATTCCCTGCAGCATGTTCACAATGTCCAAGATGGGAAAACAACCTACTGTCCATGGAAGGATGAACGGATAAAGAAAATTACAATAAAATACTACTCAGCCTTAAAAGGAGGGAAATCCAGCCACTTCTGATAGCATGGATGAACCTGGAGGACATTACGCTAAATGAAATAGGCTCGACACAGAAAGACAAATACCACGTGACCTCACTCATCTGTGGAGCCCAAAGACGGCAGACTCACAGACCAGAGAGTAGAAGGGTGGTCCGGGGCTGGGTGGGAGAAATGGGGAGAGCGGGGGCAAAGGCCAGGCTGCAGTTACTAGGATGAGTCAGTCTAAGATCTCATGTGCAGCACCATGGGGGGAAAGTCAGTTGTTTTAAAGGGAAAATTACTAAGGAAATCCCAGCACAGGTGG